ATTCATGTGAATATGACTGAAAAATTTCATTTTTTCTGAAAAGGTGGTGTCTATTTACTTGTGACCACACTGTGTACATCTATATTTTTTTCTATTGGCTTTTCAACCATGTCTAATTAACATCACAGAAGTTGCAATGATGAGATGCATGTGCAGTCATGTTACCATATCCAAGAATATAAAACTGGCCTTTACAAAGTTATCTGTCTTTGGTTTGTTCTAGTGAACCAGTATTTTGTAAAATACAGTCACATTTTGGTTATAATACATTACATATGCATATATATTAATACTATTTACAAATAGGTTCTAAAGATACAGTTATTTTTCTTATCTACTTGCAAACTTTGTAATCATTTGCCTGCTTGCCATAATTTGCTAAGCCTTGTCAAATTTTGCCCTTTAGAGGATGTAAAATATGTTTTATATATTCATTTTGAAACAACTTAATATTCCAGTCAAAGAAATAATCTAGGGAACTTCTATAAAAAGAACCTTTAGGTTGCATTCTGAGCCTTTGGTTGGTTATTCACACATTATAAACAGAAGTAGGTGTAGGTAGGTATTTCCAAAAATGGAAGGAGGTGGGCAGGGCTACACATAGCAATATCGCAGCAAATAGAAAAGTTAGGAGGTTCTTATTTTATATTCTAGCTTGTCAATATCAGTAATTTGAGTTTCTAATTTGTAAGAAAATATCGACTTTATATATTTGGACATCACAAATATTTAACTTGAATCAAAGCTGTATTTGACATACCATGTGACACACAAAAAATATTTAGGAATTTTGTTTTAATATTTACTTTTAAATTATGAAATCAACTAATGTGTAATAATGAAATTTGTATTATAATCTACAATGTGATACCAAACTTATTGACATACATTCATAAAACAATAGATCAATAAAATTTTGAATGTAAGTCTACAAATGTGATGACATGCCTTTTGACCCCTGACCATAGAAAGGCCCATAGCGAGAGGATTAACTGTACCAGGAGGTATACCCAGCTTCATTGGAGTTGTTTTTTGAGTTAGAAGGTTCTCACTCGTAACAGTTGCTTTCACTTTATGGTTTAAAGTGTTGGTTTGATTGGCTTCTGGGGCTGTGGCTGGGGCTGGCCTAAATTCTCTGCAAGTTTTCCACTTTTGCTGAAGATCAAAGAAATGAAATGTTTTTTTTTTCATTTGGCTTTATGTTTCTTATCTTTGCCACTCTATGAATATTTATTTTTGAAAAGAGCAGTCACACACATCTGTTTTGGAGGTATTTTATATAAGTTCAGTCATTGAGGTTTCATTTTATATGTGGGCCAAATGCTGTCTGTGACTATAGCTCTAGAACCATCCCAGCAATCACAAGAAAATTAGCTACTTTCAAGGAGCTCTATATATTGATAGCTAGACTAAGACAAGTATTAAACTTCTGTTGAGTTGACTGTGAAACGGGCAGCATCTGCATATTGGAGAAAACTTGTAAAAATATATTGAAGACTATACAATCTACTTATGCAGCTCATGTGTAAAGGACAACATTTCAAAAGTCTTCTGCCTCTCGTCTTCAGGACCTAATGGGCGCCCATTTTACAGTCAACTCAATATGAATGTTATGCCTAAACTATCTATCCAATAAATTAAACTTCTGCTTACGTCAGTCAAAACCTTATGTTGATTTTGGATGTGTGAGAATGTGCTAGAAAAATTTCAGAACTGTGACAGCTAACACACCTTGTATTGCTACTACCTTCTGCCATTTTTCTTTTTGTAGACGTTTGTAACATTAGAAATAGTGTAGAGCAATCTCATCTTTTTTCAGTCAAAATATCGTTTAGTCAAGTTTTCATTAAAATGGTTTCCATGTACATGTAACAATTTTTATTTTCAATTTTTGTGACTATATTATTATTCTAAAAACACTTGTTTTTTAAAGCATTCTCATCAAGGTGGTATTGTTGAGGTTATCAGGCTTTCATAGAACAAAGGTACTCACCACCTGGCAACTACAGACACCCGCTCTTTGGTGTGTAAGTGTATATCTCACCCAGCCATTATTCATTTAGCAACTACACATATTTTCTCTCTTGTTTCTACTGATCTTTGACTTAAATTGGTTTTTCCTAAAGATTTTTCAGTTCAGGTTGTTTCTACGATCTTAAGTTTTTCTTTAATATTAGCCAAGAGCTGAAACAGGATAACTGATTCTAAATTTTTCTATAGTGTTAGTCAAGAATTAAGAAACATTGTGTGAAAGCTAAGATTCTTTGTTGATTAACAAACAAATTAGAATGGTAATAAAAGTATTGTTGTTTTCCAGTAATCCAGTGTCCTGATCTTCAACGACCGGAGCATGGAGCAGTTAGTTATAGTGAAAAGACATATAAATCAACAGCAGAATACACTTGTGATAGTGGTTACCAACTGCACGGAGAAAAAGAACGCCTTTGTCAAGCAGATAAGGAGTGGAGTGGTGATGCACCGACTTGTGAAAGTTTGTACCCTTAATCTTATAAAAGTTAGCAACTGCCACATTCCAGTAAATATTGGCATGCCGTGACCTCCACAGTGTCTGATAATTCATTGTGTAAATCTACACTTATGTGTGTGTAATATAATACTTTGGTGGAAGTTAAAACTGATCATAAAGCACACCAAGTTTAGGCTTTCTACTGAAATAAATAATAAATTTTGTGAAATAGCTTGCATTTTAGCCCAAACTTGGGAAGTTTAAGTTTGTAAACAAAATATTTGAATATTCCCATATTTTGGGCATGACTTTCTAACCTCAGTTTAATGTACTTTAAAAGCAGGAGAATCCGATAAGTTGGGGGGTTTACTTTGCTCGTGTTCACTTATTTCTAACAATTTGTTTCTTGTGAACTAGACCTTAGGAGAGAATTCTCTCTATTCAGTAAGATAAAATACTTAAGAAGTAAAGCTAAAACTAATCTTTGTTACATCCACACCTTGAGTTTAATTAGCACTGCAGAAGATATGAGAGAACAAGAATTTACAATAATGTAAATAAATTCTGTTCAAGTTGTAAATCCTCTATGTTGCCAATTAAGACATAAATTTAGGCATAAATCAAAACTTTTTCCATACTAGGTTATATGATATATATATATACAAGTGTGTGTATATCTACATATGAAAATAATTGACAAAAAAACGGGTTAAAATTCAAGGAGCTTGTATAAATATTTAAAATATATTAACATACTCAAATGATCACTTTTGTATAATACACAAATAATATTTAATTTAAAAACAGATCAACAGTCCTAAAAGACACTCATGAGGATGACGTGAATGACTTCTTTTATGACCAGTGATCAGTTTTTTTAAATAAAATTCTAATTGTGTATTATACAACATTGATCATTTTAGTATTTTAATATATTTTACATTGACAAAAACAACTTGATTTTAATAATATAATGCTTGGTAGACTAGAAAGGAAATTAATGGGATATCGGTTAAATGTTTACTTTTTAAATTTGTGAAGAATCATATATTATTCTAAAATTTAGTGTTCCTTTTTCCTCCTAGGGAATTAATCACAAACTTGTGAGCTTAAGGCAGTTTGTTATTTTTTAAAGTTTTAGTTTTCTAATGTGTGTGCTTTAGTAACTTTTTACATTTGTAAAAATTGTACTTCTTTTCAAGATTGTTTCTAAGTACAGTTTATAAAGATAAACACTAGGGATGATTGCTTACATGTCAACACATTTACTGGATATTTTGTGAAGAATATCCTCATTGGTTTTTACCCTAGGCAGCAAATTAGGAAAATTTAGTGAATCTGTAGTCTGTAACTCTGACAGTTGCTTGAGTAGCAGTTAGTAACCATAAAAAGTCTCTAAAACCAAGGTAGTGTTTTCATATTTCTAGATTAGGAGTTGATGTAAAGAATATTTCAGATGTTTAGATTCTAAATGCCACACCCTATTATTCTAGAGATTACCCTGTCTTATGAAGATGCAAATATTATATTCAATTCAGCTAGACTGTCTGACCTTTCCCAAATCTATACATATTACGTTCACTTATTCTAGTCTGATTTGTCTTATTATGATGTAAATAACAGTTCATGTAAAGTTCTTTTACACTACCTATCATCTCCAAGGTATTAATATCATGCCCAGTTTTTCTAGACACTGCCTGTTCTTTCTCAGATCTAGATTAAGTGTCCTGTTGTTCTAGTGACTGTAAGTTCTTTTCAGATGTAAATACCACGCCCAATTTCACTGTAACACTGCCTGATATTTCTCAGGTCTAACTATAAAATGCACTTCTTCTTCTGTCAGACTTCCTGTCTTAGGTCTGAATACCATATCTAGTTTTACCCTAAGAGTACCTTCCGAAGTCAGATCTAAATATCACATATAATTCTTCCAGAAACTTCCTATCCATTCCCAGATCTAAGCAGGTCTGGTGCTAGGATATTTTGCACCCTAGGCAAGTTGTTTATTATACCCCCCCCCCCACCTCCTCACCTATTTTGCCCCACGGTTCGAAAGCTGTCTCAAAAAGACATTGTCTAGTAATATTTTTTTCAGCAAAATATTTATTCGCAAAAAACAAAAAAGCTGCAAACATAACTGCATACATCCTTATCCCAAACATACAGTACATGTACAAGAAACAAAGTTCGATAATCTGACAAATATTTACAGCTTCATGCTAAAGTTGCACTTTTCGTGCCCTTATCTTTGCAAATTGGCTAATCAGTTTCGTGATATCATGTTTTTCAGTGATTTCTTGCTCTATGGACACAGCTGCTAATCCAACAAGCCTTTCTTGTGCCATTGTTTTTTAACTGCAATGGATTCTTGTACAACTTTTACGGTGTATATTTCTTCAGTGTATGCTTTTTGCATTGCGCAAAACAACAGAAAAATAAATATCAGAGTTTGTGAAATATTTCGTGGTCTGCATTTTTTGCTGGAATAAACTGTGGAGACCCATGAAAATATCTTTAGCAAAAAGTATATATTTGTTATTCACAATTCAGGAAATCAATAGAGAAACTCTGAATGGTTTTGTAGATTAATGTGTCAACTTACCATTGACACTATTAATTTGTTTGTTAATGAAACTGGTGGGTAGAAAATAGCTTTTATGCAAGTAATGGGGATTAGAGCTCATAATCAAGGTTGAGTTGCCCAAAGATTAATATATGTATGTTCACTACTTTATCTGGCATCTACGACAAGAAACTAGATTTCGTGACAATGAAGGGTTACAATAACTCAGTATCTTTCTAAATATTTTGGTACACTGCACTGTACAATGGGGCTGCATAGATTATAACAACAACCATTGCTAAATCTAAGTATCGTAAAGATATGTCTTATGCTTACCTACTTTATCTTTTATTTTGTATTTAAATTAATCTTTACATAATGTTTGAAGTCTATAAATAGTTGGTCCCTAATAGTTTACCTTGTTAAATATAGCTTGCTGAAGATGGTATATGTACATTTCAAAACATTCAAGAATTAAATGTTTGTTACCATACACACATGTGTAATATGGTCATTGTTGCCGTCTTTCTAGTGATTATCATTACACAGTGTATCTACTAGGATCTAAATTTCCTAAGGCTAAGAATAGCCTACCCTAACTGAATCAATAAAGTAGGAATATCAAAGAAAATCATATTTCTAAAAATGGGCAACGGGGATAGCCGCTACCCCCTTGGCTCCAGTACCACTGCCTTGAAAGTGAACCAAAGCAAGAATGAGGCTAATGTACCGATACCGTTGGTACTATCAGGTGTCTGACAAAGTAATGTTGAAAAGAAAAAAACATCCCAGTGCACTTCGTAAGTTTTCTTGTTTCCTGAAAAGCAAAAGTTTTTGTTTTTTTTTAACTTTTGGTTCACTTTAGTTAAGAATGAAAATCATTGTACTTTGGCAACTGTTGATCAGCAATATGAAATGAACTTTGGTGCTCTATAGAAACTTTTTCAAAATTTTTGTGATAACTGGCAATTATATTTTTCTAGCCAGCAGATTTTTACACCCCCTAGCTCCTTGCACCCGAGGCAAATGCTTAGTTCACCTAATAGTAGCACCGGCCCTAGATCTAAGTACTACATCCAACTGATTTAGAGATTTCCTGTCCCTTCTCAAATATAAAATCTATATTCAGCCACTCTATTCTTAGATCTAAATATCACATACAATTCTTTCAGAGACTACCTGCCCTTTCCCAAACATTCCTGGTGGTGAGGTCATACAAATAACAGGTGGAAACCATGGTGGTGCTATCGTCACATTCCGATGTGTTGGAACGGAATCTAAAGATGAAGTAAGAGCTTCATGTCTAGATACTGGTGCTTGGTCTAAAAGTCCTCCTGAGTGTAAAGGTTAGTAGAAAGAGTGTAAGTAGTTAAATCTGACACTTTAAATATTCACATACAACTTTTTTTAATTAAAGTAACATCACTTATTGCAGATTCTGATCTTGTGCAGTAACATTACAGGTGTTGCTACACCATTTTCAACAGTTGTAGTGTTTTTTGTGATACAATAAACAGTGTTGAATAATTGCAGTCTTATGAAAATATTTTTCCAAAACAATCCACTTACATCTGCAAAGTAGCTAATTTTTGCTTGCATGCCTTTGAGATTTTGCACATGCCACTAACCCTGAACTGTCTCCCACCTAAATCACATGTTTTGACATGAACTGCTTAGTATATGATGTAATCATCATGCAGCAGTAGCCCTCCTCCAAATCCTTTAACGGGGCTTATGGTAGCTCCCCTTCTGCCTTCTTGGTTCGTCAATCCCTGGAATCCCTTCTGCCTGCTTGAGGGTTGACCCTCTGTTTCCAGTATCCCTTGCTAGAGCTCACTTCTTCCATCTGTGCCTTTACCTTGTTCTATTCCTTCACCATCTATTTTCTTCTTATCCCCTATCTAAGGCCCTCCACTGGGATCCAGATAGTTTTTCTGGGGGTATTTTTAGTCGCTTCTTTTCCATACTTAGGCCATGGTCTAATCTTTGGCTCTCTCTCTTCTCACATAGTTTCTTAGTTAAGATTTATTTAGACATGACACCCTTTTTTCTGTCTTTAACCTTCTTCATTCTTCCATACATAGCTTGTGTCTTGCTTCATTCATTCGTCATGAGTCCTTTGGTATGTTCCTCTCACTTTGGAGTCTTGGGCAGAAGATGCTTGCTATCAATTTACTCTCCCATCTTGCCTATTCCTGTGCATCCTCTCATGTTCCCTGGCTCATGTACCCTCATTCTTTCTCCCTTTTCCTCTTTTGTCTCCTTTACCCCCTCTCTCTTTATCCATCTCACCAGTGACTAACTCTCTTTGTACCTGGTTAGCTTGGGTCCTATGGGGACAATTCTTTTACTTTTTGCTAACCTGTGGAATCACTTCATGGACAACCATTGAGTCACTCAGGTTCTTATTCACTGTCTCTCTCTTCACTTTTCTTCTCTTTCTCCTCTGTCCTTTCTCCATTATTTATCTCCACCTTCTGATCCACAGCACCTCTATTGTCTCAAGGACACAATATTGGATCTCTTGGTTTTGAGAGACTCGCATACCCCTCTCTGGGTTACTTCACACCTACATTTCATCTCCAAGTCATGGAGTGTCTGATCACCTCATTTCTTTTGGTCCCCAATCTCACATCCAGCTGCTTGGACTGTGGACATCCTCAGCTTTTATTGGTTTCTCCTTTTCTGTATGTTTTCCTTGCTATCTTCCTTCCCCCACATGTCTTGGCTATGTTCCACAACACTTCTTGTCATGGCTTGTTGGCTACATCCTATTGGTTTACTCTGTCTTGGTTTCTTCTTCTTCTTCCATCATTGCAGTTCCTCTTACTCCAACCTTGTACACTACGCATTTATCAGAGAGTGTTGTCCCTTTATCTTTGCACATAGAGTTGTCCGTTCCTTACTCAGTGTGTAGTTTTTCTTATTATGTTGCCTTTCTTTTGTGCTACTTGATTCATCCTTTCACTCTCTCTGTTCCCTGACATAAGTGTCATTTTATTGCCATTGGTCAATCAAGCACTCTCTGTCTCTGGGCATCCTTGTGTTGCCTGTCATTTGGATTTCTTTACCAGGTTTTTTGACCAGAGATTGTTGGTCTACACCAGTGGTTCCCAACCTGTGGTCCCCGGACCCCTGGGGGTCTGCAAAGATAATACCATTTCATCGAACAAGTAAGTTTTTTAATTCTGCTGTTCTTTTAATTGCACACTCAGATATATATGTCTTTTATTTGATAGTGAAAAATCAAAAAACAAGTTAATTATTAGTAAGAAAAACAGTTTGTTGGGTAAATGGAATCTTTCAAAAACATGGCAGTCCTTATTGGTGAAAAGGTTGGGAACCTCTGATCTACACCATGGCTGAATATCATATAACCTTGTCCACCACCTTTTGTCTTTTTTGTCATAGTACTTCCTTTTCTACCTTGTTTTCCCTTCTTTCTTCTCTGCCAGTTCATTTTTGCCTCATTAGGACCTTCATGTGATCCTTTACACTTTCATCTAGATCCCATTTGAACCCTTGACCACTTCTTCCTTCTCTAACCTTTCCTTGAACAACTCTTTCCTTCTGGTTTAAAATCCTCACCATTCCAATGTTTATACTAGCGTATAGCCCATCAAGAATGAAGGGGCAAGTACCACCACCCCCACCCCATAGTATACCCTAACCTCACATTTCTTAGCTAACTAAAATATATAAAAATCAAGCTTGACCAACAAAGAGGCAGTCAAGGCAGTCAAACGTCAGTAAATTCCTTTGTGAGCTAACTAAAATCATTCATGAAATGAGGTTGTGGTGTATTCATAGAATAATTATTAGTAAAAATCAGAATAAAAACTAATATATAGTAAAGCCAGTGTGTTTTTGTAACACTACTTTCCAACAATGGCTGTTATCTCATGTTGCTTAGCAACAAAAGTATAACCTAATATTGTTGTTAGTCTATGTACTGAAAGTATAAAATGAAATGTATAGACAACAAAACGAAAAATATTTGTTGATTTCTTCATTTAGAGTCTCTGTTGATTAAAGAGGTTTGTTTATTATTCAAAAGTTAGTGATAGAAAAGAAAATAGCTTAACTCAGAAATGATTTAAGTTTAAAATTGAATCAGTATTTTTACTTTCATGATAAATTTTATGCACTTAGCTCTAGACTAGTTGATTCCGCATTACATTTTTACTTTATGCTTATTATATCAACCCGGTCACTAAAATCATAATGGGCAGACAGTAATCAAACTATTCTATCTGGATAATGCATTTTGATTTTTATCGCTCTTATTTCAATAAATCAAGCATGATGCGACACACTGTTTTTTTATATACTTTAGATGCCTCATTTACTCTGTTCCACAAATCTTATTCCCATTTGTTCCGTGACTTCTCTTTCCTTCCCTACACATGGATGGCTTGGGAAGGAGATAGGTCCTTTTCTCCCATTTCTCTTCTATTGGTGTCTGTTATCCTGGTCTTTAGCTCTGTGATGTTTTTTGTAGATGTGTGGTACACACTACACCACAGTCACTCACTTGGTCTCTGCAAGCCAAATGATGCATTGAGCCTTTTCTTACACATTTTATGGAGTAACACTACTCACTGGAGTGAAAAAAAAACACATGACAACACAAACTGTTTTAGTTTGGCAACAAGATATTGAAAGCTGAATGGATTATTTCCTTAGTTATTCAATTATTACATTTTAAAATAGAGATAATTTTGGATCACCCTGTACTTGTAGTAATAAATATTAACATTTTTTAATGTAATACTTTAAAGCTGAATGGTTTTATTTCCTTAGTTATTTAATTATTACATTTTAAAATAAAGATAATTTTGGATCACCCTGTACTTCTAGTAATAAATATTAACATTTTTTAAATTAATACTTTTCCTTGTCAGATGGGTGTAGCCTGGTAGTTAATGTGAAGGTGTATTGTAAAAGTAGCAGTCAATCCCATTATTAGGTTCAAAAAATCTGGACAGAGCTCTATGTGGTGGCAGGTACTGTTCTTTGCCTTCTTTCTGGTCAACAGGTCAGAATTAGGAGTGACTAATTAGCATTCTTAGCTTTTCTGAATGTTAATAATTTTAACAGACACTTGTACCTTTAGTTAATGTTAGTATTCATGCCTAATATATTGTTATGTATCTGCTTCTTTGATAATTTCCGGTAGAAATTCTTTCCGAGGAACTTCAACGATACAAGTCCTTTCTTGATTAAAACTAGTTTATTCTTTCTTGATACAAACTTTTTAATACACAGAATTTCCAATCAGTACATCAAACTTAACTACTTTTATAACACACGCTATAAATCACAGTGATTCACACACTTCACTTACGGTGCCTACTGTTTGCTTGACTCAATTATCTATATCTCCCCGATCTATCTGCATATCTATCTATCACTGGCTTTGTTTGCCGGGCATATATACTAAAAAAAAAGAGGGCGACTCGAACATACTCAGGCCTCCCTGATTATTCATGATCTTTCAAGAAACTCCAGCGCGCATACTCCCAGCATTGCGTGACTTCTGCTGTCATAACACTGCCC